CGCTGGGTGCATTGGGGACGGATCGCAGGATGCATTGGGGGGCAGATTGCAGGGTACATTGGGGGCAGACTAAAGGGTGCATGGCAGGGGGTCAGTTTGCAGGGTGCATTGGGGGGTCAGTTTGCAGGGTGCACGGAAGGGGGGCAGTCTGTAGGGTACATTGGGGAGGGCAGTTTGTGGCCACGCTCCCTGCACACACCATGTCCAGGGAAGGGACAGGACCCATAGCCCCCATGTGCACGCCCTGCTCTCCACCCTACAGCACCCTCGGCCAGCAAAGCACCCAGCAGGCAGTGCCATGCTGGCCCCCCAGTTGTAGGACTGGCCAAATGTGCTCCAGTCCCAGCCCTCAAGAAGCACGGACACAAAGAGGATGGCAAGATCTGGCCCTGCAGTTTTATTGAACCCGGTGTCCCTGGGGTGGGCAGCTCTCATGGCATGGGGTACCTGGGGGGCCTCATTCAGACCAGGGATCCTTGTCGGTGTCGATGGTCATGCAGTTGTACACAGCATACCGCAGCATCTCCTCACAGGTCTTGGCCCTGGTTGGGGGGACACTGGGTCACAGCCGTGACGGGCACTGAGAGCCCCACACTTCCCTCCCTGCACCTGCCCAGATGAACCTGGGAGGGGACCCCAATGACAGCCCCAGGGAAGGGGGAACGTCCCCGTCCCCTGTCCCCAGCTCGACTCACGAGGAATAGTTGGGCAAGTAGAAGCTGCAGGAGCATGTGGAGGCCTGTGGCATCATGTCCAATCTGTTCGAGCTTGGGAGAAAGGAGAGAGAGTCAGACCCCGGCATGGTGCAGGGACCCCGGCATGGTGCAGGGACCCCGGCATGGTGCAGGGACCCTGGCACGGGCAAGATGGACTCACTTTATGACTTCTGGGTAGACAGTGATCTGAACCGGGAGGCGGCTCCGGCCAGTGACGAACTTGAGGAAGCGGCTGAGATCCTCTGAGGGGAAGGACAGGGCTCAGATCTCAGGGACAGGGACGGGACCATCCCAGTCACTGCTGTCACCACAGGGTCTGCCCTTACAGAAGCATTCCAGGAGCACAGGGGAAAGGCTAAGGGATGCTCTTAGCATCCCAGGAGGGAGCAGACAGGATGACCCCAGCCAACTCCCAGGGGAGTATCTAGTGAGCATCCCCAGGGTGCAGGGCAGTGGGCACCCCATCCCCTGGCCCACCCTACTGCACATGAAGAGCAGGAAAGGCTTGAAGTCGCTCACCGCTGGTGAAGTTGTCAAGTGCCTCCAAGAAGTTCTGGATACGGGTGTCATTGGAGGAAAAGTCCTCAAATGTGACTGCAATGAGGAACATGCAACAGCTTCCTTAGAAACTCCCAGCAAAGCAAATTAATGCAGGACACATCCAACACACCCTTCTGTGAGAGTTCAGGGTGGAGGCAAGAGAGGAGGAGACCTTCCGCTTTCAGTGAGCCCTTGCGAGCCCCCGGCACCCCAAGTGGGGCTGGCACCCAGCGCAAAGGCAGGTGGAGAAACAGGGGTCCCAGTTTGCAGGGTGGACATTCACCTCTGCTCACAGTTGCTGAGGACCAGAGCATGGACCAGTGGGGTCTGCAGCTAAACCTGAAGCATCCCAGCCTTACCCAGGAACCCTCTGGCTCATCCTTCCCCAGGCTCCCTGACACCCCATGACCAGGGGCTCAGCATGGGTCAGGATCCATGCACAGGATGAGCACTGTCAAGGGGAGCCCCTGCCCACACAGGGGGCCGGGAGCAGCTTTGGGCTGGTCCTGGCACTTACTGAACTTCCGCAGTTCAGCCACTGTGATCTCGGGGTCCCCACAGACCTTCTTCTCCAACTGCTGCCAGGTGAGCAGGTCCAGCACAGGCTGGGGCACCACGCGGAGCAGCCCGGCACGCATGGCTGCGATCTGGGGGGGCACAGGAGGGATCCCACATCACTGTGGCAGGTCTGAGCCCAGGGCAGCCAGCCAGGGCACTGCGGGCAGGGACCACAGAACCCCAAAAGGGATCCCCAGGGCTCATGGACATTCTGGGCATGGGAAGCACAGAGAAACCACCCAGCCAGAGCTGGTTTTGGGGACACCTTTTGCAGCCACCACAGGTATCACAGAATCATAGAATCCTAGGTTGGAAGGGACCTCAAGGATCATCTGGTCCAACCTTTCTAGGTCAAAGCACAGTCTAGACAAGATGGCCCAGCACCTTGTCCAGCTGAGTCTTAAAAGTGTCCAATGTGGCAGAGTCAACCACTTCCCTGGGGAGATTATTCCAATGGTTGACTGTTATAATTCTGAAAAATTTCCCTCTCATGTCCAATCGGAATCTCCCCCTTGCCCTCTCCATGTGACTCCTTGTAAAAAGGGACCCTCCATCTTCTTTGTAGCTACCTCTTAGGTACTGGTACATGGTGATGTACCAGGAGGGCTTGCCATAGGGGCAGGGTCCTCTTGGAGCCACTCCAGTTACCTGCTCCTTGCTCTCCTCTAGCCGAGCCTTCTGCACCAGGTGGATGAACTCCTTGCGGTCCTCGTAGCGCACCACGGTGCTGCTGCCATTAGGGATCAGCTCTACCACATGCTGGTCGCTCTGCACCACCGTGTAGGTCAGCTCTTTGCCGAACATGAACTCGAAGGCTTCCCTGTCCACCCTCTCCAGCATCTCCAACAGCTTCACCTGCAACCCCAATGGGCCAAAGCCATCACAGCAGAGCCAGAGCAGCCATGGGAGCGCACAGCGCTGCCCTGCTGGCCACCAGCCCCACTCACCAGCTCCGAGTCCACAGCAGCGAAGTCCTTGCTCCAGCTGACCTCCTCCCCTGCCAGCTGCTTCCACACCAGTGCTGGCAGAGACAGGATCTGCCAGAAGGAGCAAAGACGTATGTCCTCCCCGTGTCTCTCCTCCACCTGAGGGCAGCCCCTCTGCCCAAGACATCAAGCGCCCATCAAGCCCCATCACCGGCTGGGGAGGCTCTGCTGTACTCACCAGGAGCTCCTTGCTCCTCAAGGCTGCTCCTATCAGCTGCCCGATCCACTCGTACTTGGGGAAGTCCTTGCAGGAGGGGTTGGGGACATACATGTCCCTGGTGTCACTGCTGCTGTTACCCTGCAGGAGAGAGGCTTGGGACCTGCAGACACAGATGCAACCAGTGCAGCATGGTCCTTCCTGCAGCCTCCCACTCCATCACCCCTCTGCCTGCCTCTCCTGCCTTTTACACCCCTCCAAGAGATCTCCACCACCTGGCTACAAGCAGTCCACCCAGCCAATAGCCCTGCAAGTGTTAAGACAGGACTAACACCCCAAAATATTGCAACTGAAGGACAAGCCTCCAGGGTCTACTGGATTTCCTCCCAGGGCTGGGACAGGCAGACAGCAGGGTGCCAAACCTGGTTGGAGGTGCGCACGAAGAAGGGCAGGGGCACGGGGACATCACCCAAGCTGGGACACAGCTCCTCTGACACGTCCGACAGGCTGTCCCGAAAACCGCCGCCTGCAATGGAGGCAGAGGCTGGTTAGTGCCTGACACACTGGGGCCAGACGCTGAGCCACAGGATCCGGCCAAGGCACCCCCTCTCCATGGGGCAGGGGCAGCACTGGGGGCATAGGGGAGATGCGGGGGCTGCCCCACGTGTGCAGAGTGGGGCTGCCTCTTGCAGAGCAGCTGGGACAGTGTGGGCACCCCATCGCAGTGGGCAACCCACCAAGCTACCCCCCAGGCATGAGAAAGCCCAGGGGAGAGCCCCAGGCAGGAGGGGAGAGCTCTCACCGCCATCAATGACGCCCTCGGTGATGAACTCGCACTCCCACCACTGGATGTAGCTCGTGGGCCACCTGTGGGGAAGCAACAGCCCCATGTACCCCACCTTCTCCGAGAGGGCCAGCAGTACCTGGCATCCACTCGCACCCCACTCTAGGGAGGTGACACCCCACAAATGTGGCGTGAAGACCTACCTGTAGTCTAGGGGCTGATTATTCTTGGAAGATCTGAGGCCTTCATACAGCTGGAGAGGAGCAGAGTGGAAAGGGGATGAGATGCAGTGAGAGCAAGCAATGTTGCATCAGCAGGTACCCGGCGCAGGGCATGGCATTGCCATACCTGGGTGAAGACAGTGTTCCTGCAGCTGGGGTCCAGCGCGGGGTTGGCACGGTGCTGCCGGGCCAGGTGCCGGTTGATGTGCAGCTTTGGCAGGGTGTGAGGGGGGGTGCTCTCCGAGGACTGGAGACAGTGGGTGATGAGGGCTGTGCTCTGCTTGGACAGCAGCAGGAACGGCTTCATGCTCTAGCAGGTGATGAGCAAGGATGGTTAGGGGCCTGATCATGCCACCGCATGCCCTCTTTCCCCCTCCCCAAGCACAGCCCCCGGTGTTGCAGGGGATACTCAGCTCCTCCATCCCCCCAGCAATGCCCAGCATAAAAGCTCTCAGCATGAGCCCTGGGCTGATCTGTCCCCATAGGATCAAGGGGGACACACCACAGTCCCTGGGGAAACCAGCCGAGCTCATGACAAGATGCTTCTACCAGTACCATCACAGGCGAGCCCAGCAAACGCTCACCCTGAGTGCATTGAAGGTGCCAATGCTGTCCTCAGAGAGGGGGACCAGGTAATGCAGGACACTGTCCAGGAGCTGGACGAACCTGGAGACCAGAGAGGAGCAGCATGAGGATGCGAGCGGGTTGGCGGATGTCTCAAGCCCCATACGCCCATGGCATTTCCCTGCAGACAGCCCCAGGCACGTGCTGAGCCTGGGTGCCACACTCCCTGCACGTGAGTCTGCTCCAGACCCTGCTGCACAAAGGAGAGCGCCCAAGAAGCAGCCTCTGGCCAAGCACTTTATTTTGTACCCCTCAAGAAAAAACTGCAAACAAGGGCAGCCCAGCCCACACCACAGCACCGCAGCTGACCCTGCAGAGGGGCTCTTCATGGGGCCAGTGCTGACCCCAGCCCGGGGCTGCCCTGCAGGGCAGCAGGGTGGGAGACTCCACTCTGCAGGTTCCCCTTGCCCCGTGCCAGCAGCGTGCTCCCCAGGCACTGGAAGCAGCTGTGTTCAGATGGGGAGCAGCAAATCAAAGTCCCTGCTGCACATGGGAAAGGAGCTGGCAGACTTTAAGCAAGACACGTGCAATCCCCTGCTAGAGGCCAGGGCACAGTCCTTCTCGGGGCCCGGGCTCACTGAGGGGACAGTACCATCCCAGTGCTGTACCTCTGAATGAGCACGGCCCGCCGGTACAGCACGTCGGTGTCCACCCCTTCCAGGAGAGGATAGCGCACCAGCCGGGCTGGCTGGAATATGTCAGCGTTGAGGATCAAGTCCCACTCCCAGAAGGACTTGATCTTAATCCCTCGCAGGCGGACATTGTACCCTTGTTCTGCCAAGAAAGGACAGCGATGCTGCATGCACGGATGCAGTTGTGCGGCCGGCATGGCTCAGATGCTGCAACTGGGGGCAAGGAGCCTCCAGAGCCTGTGGCATCCCAAACGAAGTTCATTCCCCAGCTTTTCGTCCAACAGTCCCCAAAAAGCAGCCGGTGTGGCAGGAAGAGCCACAGGTGCCGGGACCAGCTGCAGGTTTAGGGCTGGGTTGGGCTGGCAGCCCCCGTCCGCAGCGCAGGCTCACCCCGGCACTCCAGGATGCGGATCTCCAGCACCGGCAGGTGAGTCTTCATGTCGCGGAGGATGCAGACGTCCCGGTAGCTGTTCCTGCACACAGCACGGAGGGAGATGGCAGAGCTGCGAGGCACAGACACCAGCGAGGCGGCCGGCGAGGCACGGGCCACTCTGGCTCCCCAGCTGAGGATGCGCCTCCCTCTTTGCTATGCAGCAAAAGCCCCCCCACCTCACCGGGGCTGCAGCAGAAAGGGACCAAGCACAAAGAAGACACCGTCAGAGGCATAGAGACATCCTGAAGAAGGCAGAAGCCACATCCAAAGAGCCAGAAAAGAGCATAAATTCAAAGCAGAACAGAAAGGCAAGATGGCTGAGAGCACATCGCTGTTCCCGGGGGGTCCCGACACATCTTGCATCAGTTCAAACCATCCTTCAAGCTGAGCTGGACACACGAGGGTGATGTGTTTTGAAGGAAACAGGGATTTGTAGAGATGAGCGATCTGGTAAGTGATTCACTTGTATTTCCAAAGCCTTTGGCAAGGTCTCGTCAAAGACCTACAGGCACATGGGGATAAAACACTGCCACTGCCCAGACACAGTGAGGAGTTGGCTCCTGCCACCAGGAAAGAGACCTCAGAGGCCTCATGGATGCTTCTTCAAAGACAAATCACACCACTCAGCCAAAAAAAAGCAAACAGGCAAGTTTTGGGGAAGGAGATCTTCGTACCCCTGTGTAAAGCCCTGCCTGCCTCGAAAAGTGTGCAGAACCAGAGCGAAGAGGGAGAGGTGAAGCACCCCAGAACTTCTCAGCTACAGCACAGCAGAGATGCTCAGAAAGGAGACGGCAGTAGCACGTGTCCCCAGAAGCAAGGAGGAGGCGGAAGAAGAGGAAAGACCCCCAAAGTCACCAAGCAGGAGGAAGCACGCTGCAGCCCAGTTGCTGCAGCACGGATGAGGAGCAGGAGTGGAGACGAAGGTGCTCAGCTGGCACGTGGAGGCGGGGGGCACCACACTTGCGGGGACAGATGTAACCTGCATCCAGAGCCACTGTCACCACCAGGTAACTCCGGACTAACCCCAGCCCTTTCCTTAGCATTTGCTCGGGATGCAGAGACAGTTTGGCCCAAGCCGGACCCAGGCTGCTCCTCGCTGATTACTCACTCGTTAATAAGGACGGTTCTCAGGTGCTGCAGCCTGTTCGGTGCCCCGCCATACACAGCCACCCGCCTGGGTATGTAGGAGATGGCCTGCCCATCCAGCATCAGCCACAGCTTCCTAGGGACAAGAAGAGCAATGGGCAGCGTTGTCCTCCCTTCCTGAGCTGCCTGGGCATGGAGATGCCCCTGGAGATGTCCCAGAGCTGGGGGCAAGTCTATGTCCTCCTGGAGTGCATCTGGCAGCATCTGCCCCCCATCTGAACCCCAAGCCCCCAGCTGCACCCCAGGGAAAGCTGCTTTCAAGAGGAAGATGGTGTTTTGCCCCACACCCTGCCTGTCCCTGGCACAGCTACCAGAAGGAGGGGACACCCTGAAGTCTCACTTGACAATGGCGCCTTTCTTCATATTGAGCCGCACCCAGTGCTGCCCCGGCGGCCCTCTGCTCTCCCAGAAGGTGTACGTCTGGTTGTCAGTCAGATGGGCTGCACAGCAGTCCTCCTGCAAGAGTGCAGCAAGCAGAGGGAGGGAGATGAGCATCACTAAGCACACCATGGCCACCACCGGGATGGGTCCTGTGAGGCCAGAGGAGGTCAGGACCAGGCCAGCCGCCCAGTTTGCTGGGCTGCAGGTGGATGGTGGCTCCTGCAGCAAGAAAGCTGGGCATGGCCATGGACCCCTCGCGGCACCCCAGAGACACAACGGGGTTTTGCTCCAGAAGCCCAACTACTCACAGCTTTGCTAGAGCAGCAAAACACCACCACCATCCCCTGCCCCTCACAGAGGGGACAGCCACTGCCAGCCACTCCTCCCCACAGCTGCAGTGATGCTTGTGTGTCTCATGCTGATTTTAAGCCGTGGAGGAGCCCCGCTATACACACCGTCTCTGAGGAGACCTCGACACTGCTGAGGTGCTCCTTGATGCAGTCCCTGCGCTGCAGCTCCTCCTCACTGTAATACAGGAAGCGCCCCAGCTCCATGTCATGCTCATAGCTCCAGCCCGGGGGCACGGACCTGCAGGGGGGGGTCTGTGTCAATGGGATGGGGGGACCAGGTTGCACCCCAAACCTGCCCACCAGCACTGTGCAGGTGCCCCAGCTCAGATTGTCCACAGCATCTCATGGTCACCACATTGGGATGTGCTGGGCAGCTGTCCCCGCCGCAGGCAGATGGCATGGCTGTATCTCACCACCACCACGATGGGTGTTTATGGCCACCCCAGCCCAGTGGGAATAACACCACATGGTCACTCTGATGCTCCGTGGAGCAAAGGCCATCTTCACTCGAGCAGCATTGAATGGTATCAATGTAAAAAGCATCTCATAGCACTCATCCTCCCCACTCCCAACCCTGAAGTCAGTCCTGGCCCCACAGGCATGTCCACCAGGCCTCAGCTGGCCATCCCTTGGGGTGCTACAGTACCGCTCTAGGACACACATTCGTACCGAAACTTCTGCACTGCGGCCTCATCCTGCTCTACGAGTCTGGGCTTCGCTCCCAGGCGCATGGAGTACGTCAGGTCCACCGCTTGTTCCCAGCTGGAGCAGCACCAGCAGAGGAGTCACACAAGGGAAAAGATGAGTCAGTGGTCAGCACACCCAAGCGTTACTGCCTTAGCCTGGAGTGGAGGCAGCAGCAGCTGGGGACCAGTGACGGCACCCAGGAGCTGCAGGAACAGCTGCAGGAGGGATGACAGGGTCCCTGCACCCAGGGGCAGGCTGGGGCAGAATGGGGAAATCCACCCCTGCACGCGGCCTTCTGTCGTGAAAATCAAATACGAGCTCTCTCATCACTGCGCTACCGCCACGACATCGCTCAGCCCAAAGCCGGGTGCCTCAGAACCGCCCTGGCATCACCTTTATCCTGCGCAGATGCTGCCACAAGCAAACAGGATTACCCTACGGGGGGGCACCCTCAGGCCCGCAGGCGGCCCGGTAGGGATGTGGCCCACCTGCGCTGGAGGGGGCGAGGGGGTCTGTGCTGGACGTGCCCAAGGGATTTGGGGTGGTTGGGTCACACGTCCTCCGTGGGTACCGGCCGCACGCGCCCCCGGGCCCACAGCCCGGTCCCGATCCGGGGTGCAGCAGGGCTGGGACCATACCTGACCACGGGTTTATAATCAACCCCGAGCGTTTGGTGCTGCCACCGGATCTTCTCCACGGACTCGACCGGCACCAACTTATCTCCTCCCCCTCCAAACCTCTGCGCCAGGAGCCAGCCCTCAGCCAGGTCGCGGCTGCCCGGGAACGCCTCCAGCTGCTCCTGAAAGCACAG